AAATCTTTAAAAAAAATAACAAATGAAACGTGCAAATTAGACTTGAGGTCTAGTTTCTCTCAAAAACCTTTAATTTGCACTTAAAAATTCAAGGCAGTCCCAACATTTACAAGATATAATCCTTTTTATTTCTCTCTCCGTTTATTTTGAGCTGTTCTCATTAACAAAATGAGAAGCACATTTGACCAAAAAAAAAAAAAAAGAGAAGCACATGGCAGACGAAGAAGGGAGAGGATGTCATTAATCAGGCACGTCGCCAGGCTGTGGACACAATTCGCCGGCTATGATGTAACACATATGATTTTGCTGGTCCAGAGAAAGAAGGTGAACCAACTTGTTGGGCCATGCAGAGCCCCTACTCCATTTTGTATTTTCCAACTTTCTTTTTTTTTTTTCTTTTTTTTTTTTTATATTAGTTGCACGAGGCAGGTAAATTTTTCACATTCCTTATCTCATCCTACTTGTATATCATGCGACTCGAATTATTGATCTTTTACTTTTACAAAAAAATACTACCATTGAATTATTTAAATGTTGGTGTTTTTCCAACTTTCTAAGATCAATGCTAACCGTATACGTAACCTTTTTTTTTTTTTGAAGGTCTAAACATGCTTACCTCTGGGTCACTGGTGCATTTTGTACCTGTAGTTACAAATTTACACTATAAGAAATAAATATTTAGTTAATAAATAATAATAATTACAACAAATTTAATTTATAATTAATTATTATTTTGATAGTTACAAGTAATAATTTTTCAAAATTAATTCACATTTTAGCTTTAATTTCTAGTCTTAGTAACAATATTTGATTTTCTAACTACAAAGTTTTGAGTATAAACAAAATTTATAACTAATTTTCAACTTTACCACCACAACATCAAAATATTTGTGGTAATTATAAATTTATTGTAAAATCAGTAATTATAAAAAAAAATTAAAATCATAGCTAATGCTAACGTATAACTATTGATTGTAAACTAACTATAATAATTGATTTTTTTTAAAATTAAATAATAAAAAAAGTTAAAGAAATATTAATTGTAATGAAAACAACTTTTAGTAAGAAAAGGAGGAAAATAAAGAAAGCAGTATTGTTTTTCTGTTTAAGAGAGTTTGGAGAAGTGGGTTTCTTTAACTTTTTATGCGGAGGTTTCTAACTGTTCTTATGGACTAAAAAAAGAGTGCAAAATATTTCTCCGACTTTTTGGTGTTTTCTACGATCAAGGGCCCTTGGCCACCGGTGAAAAATGAAAAGACAGAAAATAGAGAAGGTGGTCCAGGACCGATGAATCTAAAGGAGATTTTGGAGAGGGGATTAAAGAGAGAACAGAGAGGAAACTGAGAGAACCTACTGGTGCCCTAGCCGTAGAAGAAGAGATCAGAGTAGGGGATGCAATCGGAGGAGTCGCCCAAAATCATGGTGGGTGTTAATAATTCCATTAGATAGCAACAAATAATGCTTCAATTACTTCTCCTCTACTGTCTCCATCGAAAACTAAGTACGTCCATTTTTTTCTCTTCTTCGTCTTTCATTTTTATCTCGATTAAGCTCTTCTAAATTTGCTTACAAGTTGCCATAATGCATACGGCAGAAACAAAGAGTAATCTCAGTTTTATTTTGTCAATTTCTACATTTTATTTGCTCTGACTTTATTCGTTTATTTACTAGTAACCTCGGGCTCTGGTCTTTCCCTAAATATAAGCCTCAAATCATGAATAGTCCATCTAACTAGTACTCTTCCTTTTTCTATACTTCCCCCCATCTTTCTACTAATAAACCATGAGTGCCAATAGCTTCTTGTCTTTGCGAGTGAGACAGAGATGGATCCTGAAGATAGGAAATCCTTGATCAATAAATACCCAATCTCCACTTCTTTCATTTAGACAGCCCCTTCCATGGCGATCTGTTCTGGGCGCCGTCCCCTAAACCTCAACAGAACGAGCATCTGATGCAGTACCCTCCAGTCTCCACAAGGTTCACATGTTAGGGTTTAATTTAACAAATAAATTAAAAAACGCCATGGACGCCCATATCGAGCACTGAGTTGATGCCTAGCTTCCACAGCCATGGAAATGAGGCTTGCCTTTTGCTTTGAATCTATTTCTCTTCATGATGATATATTCGTTTCTATTCTGCAATTAGGATTGCAGAGCAAAAAACAGAAAAAGACCCAGGACAAGCGGCTGATCACTTGCAGGAAAAAATGTTCAAAAAAAGAAAAATGCACACAATATATTACTCATATCTCTGAGGATACACGGCAAGCTTGGAATAAATAAAATCTAACAGAGTAGTACAAATATAGTTCTCATCTGCCTTACCCAGGACGAGTAGGTTTCCAACACCGTCATCTTGGAAATTAAGGTCTCTGGAAGTGTATATAGTAAATAACAGCCTCATCCCTCATCCTGTATATGGTAATCAGATCCCCAGGTACCAAACCGTGGTGTTGAAAAAAGGGCCTCATGCCAGTAATAGTTTGCTTATAATAGGGGCCTGTCATCCTCCTGTTGTATCTGAACTCCCAATTACTCCCAAGCACATCCCTAGCCATAAGTGGTGCGGAATTCTGACCCGGCTCAATGATCGGCATATGTTGGACACAATTCGCATCGGAGGCACTGATGCAGCCAGTGGAAATCATTGTAGCTTTCATAGCTCTTGGTCCGAACACGCGCCTCATACCTCCTGGTGGGAGCCCAAGCGTAGCAGCTTCCATGCTAACTCAGTATAATATTACTATAGCGAGAATGAGAAGGGTCGACTGCATGAATCGGTCGGTAGCGGTGTGCTATTTATAATCGAAAGGGCAGAAAAAGCCAACGTTTATTGTTGGGCCATTAAATCATTAATTACTGTTGATTAGCTGGTAGTATGTGTCAGATTTTCTCCTTTTTTTTTTCTTTTTTTTTTTTGTTATTTTTTTATGGGATATATATGTTCAAACATACAGTGTATTACTTTCGTCTGAAGTCTCTAAAGATAATCCCATGTCTTGATAACCAACAATGTCGTTGCCGTATTAGCTTTGCTGTTTAGTATTTTCTAAAGTACATGTTCATGGGTAGGAGGCTAGCTGTGACGAACCTTTTCCTCCTCCTCCTTCATGAATAAATTTATATTTGGTAATTAAAAAAACATTATATGACCTAGAAAAGGAAAAACGCAAGGTGTTAATTAACTACCAAATACGACCAAAGCTCCACACGATTAATTAAACTTTAAAAAAAAAGCTTGATGGAATTCTTAATGACATCTATAAATTATAAAACTTGTGAACTTTTTTATTTTTTGGTACTAACCTCCCGATATTTGATAATTACATTGGATCTCAACTAATTCAAAATCGAATCGCGTCGGATCTTATTAGGGGAAAACTCTTCCAACGCCTATTTTTCTATTCACAATACTCAAACTCAATATTGGCGGAGCAAGGCAACCCGTGGATGAGCCCGGTGATGCAGACGGTGAAGAAGATGATGTGGAGAGAGGTGCAGGGGAATCCAACGGTAACGTCCAGCTCCAAGACCTTCAAGACGGCGACAGGTCAACGGATGTAGTGCCTGACAGCATAGAAAATTTTGAAAATTTTGAATTTTTTGAATTTTCAAAGGAGGGCGTAAACAGAGACAGGACAACGGACTTGGTTCAAAAGGGGGGGAATGATGTTGCTGATGCAGGATCCAAAAATGAGGGAGGTTGTCTTTTGGGCTTGGTGGAGCAAAATAACAGGATGTCATATGGAGAGGTTGTTAAAAAAGGAGTTGGGTCAGATCGTGGCCCAAATGGTGAGGATTCCGGTCTTATAGCAATGGGCCAAGATACAAGAAAGGGAGAAAGCCCACTTTCTATTGGAAGAAATACTTTTAGTGGGAATGACGCAGAGTGTTCGGGTCAAAAAGCCGGTGAAAGAAGGGGTACTTTGGAGAGCAGGTCGGGAAGCGATGAGGGGAGTGGCGATGATGGTGGGCAGAAGCGTGCAGCCGGATCACAAAAGAGAAGGAAGATGAGGCTGAGAACATGCAGATCCGTTCACCTGCAGGACGCCTCGATGCAGAGGAAGCAGAGAAGGAAAAAGGGGCAGGGGCGCCGGAGCAAGCAGCCATCGGGGGGGGCAGATGTTGCCAGAATTCATAGCAAACCCAAACGGTGCAGCAGCGGGCGAATCTGTAGGGGACAGTGGGATCCAGAATTGTAACAGATCCATAAAGAGGAAGATGCAACGGAAGCTTGCTAAGGAGATTTGGGAGCTTGCCAAACAATTAGGAGCAACGGCAGATTGCGACGAGGAGGTGATCTGCAGAATTGATGAAATGGAGAAAAGAGATAGCCTAGCCAAAGCTGTCACGGTGAAGAAGGCAGCAGGGAGTGCGAAGAAGGTTTGTACTGCTCTTAATGATAATACTATCCTTTAACATTAGAGGATTAGGAGGGGTTGGGAAAAGAAGAAATATCAGGAATATTATTTTGAGGGAGAAAGTGGAATTCCTAGTTGTTCAAGAAACCAAATTGGAAGTTGTTGATAGGAAGCTGTGTAGGAGGGTGTGGGGGACGGAGGATTTTGACTGGATAGCCAAGCCTTCTAGGGGGCTGTCGGGCGGATTGCTGTGTATATGGGATAAAAAAATTTTTAAAAAGGAAGAGGTGTTAGAAGGGGACCATTTCATTGGGGTTTTTGGATTGTGGGGGGAAGAGGGAGTACCGGTTTTTATTCTAAACATTTATTCTCCATGTGATTTGTCTGGAAAGAGAGCTCTGTGGGAGGAGTTGCACAATCTGATCTTAAATAGGAAAGGCAACTGGTGTTTAGGGGGGGACTTTAACGCTGTCCGGAGCGCAGGGGAACGGGCAGGGTGCAAGGGGATGTCCAGAGAAATGATAGATTTTGACAGGTTCATCTCTGAATCTGGGTTGGTGGATTTACCTATGGTAGGGAGGAAGTATACTTGGTATAATGCTAATGGCAAATATATGAGCAGGATTGACAGATTCTTGGTTTCAGAGGAATGGCTTATGAGATGGTGCGATGTAAAACAGTGGGGTTTGGAAAGAACAGTTTCAGACCACTGTCCAGTTTTATTGAAGCATGAGCGGGTGGACTGGGGACCAAAGCCTTTCAAGATTTTTGATGCTTGGCTGCAAGAACCTGGGTGCAAAGAGATAATTAGGAATACATGGAACTCTACGACAGTGGAGGGATGGTATGGCTTCAAGCTCAAGGAGAAGCTAAAAAGTGTGAAGAAAGCCTTGAAATAATGGAGTAGAAACTCAGTGACAGAGGTGGATAGGAAAATTATGGAAGCTGAGAGAGTGATAGCCCAACTGGATGAAAGAGGAGAGAATGCTCAATTGTTACCGTCCGAAATTGAAAAGAGGAGAAGTAGTTTTCTTGATCTATGGAAGAACCTCAAATTAAAAGAGAACATGTGGCAGCAAAAATCAAGATTGATGTGGTTAAAAGAAGGTGATGCAAACACCAAATTCTTCCATAGGTGTGTGAAGGGAAGATGGAGAAAAAACGAGATCAACAGCATCCAGATTAACGGTAATCAGCATAAAGAAGTGGGGGAGATTAAAGAAAAAATGGCGGGATATTTTGAGCAGCTTTATACAGAAGATAGGTGGCAGAGACCCAAGTTAGATGGTATAAACTTCAGATAGATTGATGGGGTAGACAACGAATCCCTCATGGCAGCATTCTCGGAAGAAGAAATCAAAAATGCTGTTTGGGATTGTGAATCATCAAAGTCTCCAGGCCCAGATGGATTTAATTTCAAATTTGTGAAGTGCATGTGGGAAGATATAAAATCGGAGATTGCGGGCTTTATTAGAGAGTTCCAGGAACATGGAAGGCTTGTAAGAGGTTCTAATGCTTCTTTCATAACTCTAATTCCGAAGGTAGAAAACCCGCAAAGGATTGAAGAGTACAGGCCCATTTCACTTATCGGTGTTATGTACAAGATAATTGCGAAGCTATTAGCAAATCGCCTCCGGAAAGTGCTGGACAAAGTTATCGGGGAGCAACAGATGGCATTTATCGAAGGTAGACAGCTGGTTGATGGTGTGGTTATTGCTAATGAAGTGATTGATGAGGCGAAGAGGAATAAGAAGAGAAGCTTCCTTTTCAAGGTCGATTTCGAAAAAGCATACGACAAGGTGTGCTGGGATTTCCTAGACTATATGCTGTTAAGGATGGGCTTCTGCAATACTTGGAGAATGTGGATACGTGAGTGTCTACAATCCAACACGGTCTCAGTACTGGTCAACGGAAGCCCGTCTAGACAATTCTCAGTCAGCAAGGGACTTCGCCAAGGAGATCCTTTATCTCCCTTCCTATTCCTGATAGTAGCGGAAGGATTAAATGGTTTAATGTCTTCTGCAGTTGAAAAAGAGTTATATAAGGGCGTGACAGTGGGCAAGGACGCGGTTATGATCACTCACCTTCAATTCGCAGATGATACCATCTTTTTTGGGGATGCAACAGAAAACAACATCATGGTGATTAAAAGTATAATGAGGTCTTTTGAGCTGCTTTCCGGGTTGAAAATCAATCTACAAAAGAGCCAACTTATGGGCATCAACGTCGAAGACAGCTGGGGATGCAAAATGGCCTATAGATTATGCTGCAAAAAAGGGGAATTCCCATTTAAATACCTGGGAATTCCCATCGGGGGAAGCCATAGAAGGCTCACAATGTGGCAGCCCTTGCTGGAGTCTTTTAAAAAGAAGCTGTCAAGTTGGAAGGGTCGGCAGGGTCGGCAACTCTCTCTTGGGGGTCGAATTACGCTCATCAACTCCGTGCTGTCCAGTTTGCCTGTGTTCTTAATGTCAGTATACCTTCTTCCAAAAGGCACTCTCAAAGCTATTGATAAAATTCGCAAGAGTTTCCTATGGGGTGGGGAGGGAGAAAGGAAGAGAATTAATTGGGTCAATTGGAAAAAGGTATGCATGCCGAAAGAGTGCGGAGGGCTGGGAGTGAGAGACCTAGAGCATTTTAACTTGTCACTGATGGGTAAATGGTGGGGGAGGCTAGCAGCAAAGGAGGATGGATTATGGAGGAAAGTGATTGCAAGCAAATATGGTGAGGGAGGGAGGCACTGGATGGATTGGGTTAGGAATGGTGTAGGGGCTTGTTCTTGTTGGTGGAGAGATGTCAGAAGGATTGATAATGTAGAAGGGGAAATTACAGGGTGGTTAACAGAGGGCTTTAGCTTGAAGCTAGGAGAAGGGAAGGGTGTAAGTTTTTGGTGGGATGAGTGGAGTAGGGGTTTTTGTCTAGCAAACAAATTCCCGAGATTGTATCTCTTATCTGAAGGAAAGGAGAAAGAGTGCTGCCAGATGGGATCTATGTGCAATGGAACATGGAAATGGAATATTACATGGAGAAGGAAGCTGCTAGAAAGGGAAGAAGAGGCAGCAAAGGAACTCAGTATAGAGATTGAGGGTGTGAAGATTGCTCCTGGCCGACCCGATGAATGGGAGTGGATTCACAGCAAGGATTCCCGTTACTCAACTAAAACAGCGTACTCACTCTTGACAAAGGTACCGAGGTGTCCGACTCAAGAAAGGGTCTTCAAGAGAGTATGGAATCCCAACCTGCCAACCAAGATCTCTGCTTTCAACTGGCAATTGTTGCTCAACAGATTGCCAACCAAATCAAATTTGCTGAAAAGAGGATTCAGTGCAATCATGGGTGATGGTAAGTGCAGCCTGTGTCAAGAAGAGGAAGAAGACGCAACCCACTTGTTTTTGAAATGCAAAAACAGAAGATGGATATGGAAGGAGTGTGATAGATGGTGGGGGATCAATATAGAGCCACAAGAGGACTGCTGGAAGACATTTGAACATCTTGGGACGTGGACCAGAAATACGAGGATCAGAAAAGGATGGGATTGTACCTGGAGTGCAATAGTATGGTCCATATGGCTGATGCGGAATCAAAGGATCTTCCAGAACCAAGAAATGGACCCGGGTAAGCTTCTCGATCTGGTCCAAATTCGATCGTTCTTATGGTTTAAAGCAAAAAAAGCCTGGTGTTACTTTACTCTTTCGGATTGGATTAGTAATCCTATTGCATGCCTCACGGAGTATTGTGGAGGTAAAAGCTAGGGAGGAATAGTCTGAAAGATGGAATTAACATGTAGTGGCTGGGTTTTGTGTTGTTTGTGTTAATGCACTGGGGGCTTAATTCTCGTCACGGGCTGTGTGTCGACACTTTGAGAGGGTGTCGACACTTTAAAAGTAGGCCTCTCAATCAGTTTTGTTAAGGGTTTGGGGTACCCCTTGTACTCCGTTTTATTAATATATATATTCTTTGCTGTTCAAAAAAAAAAAATACTCAAACTCAATATCTTACTTAAAAAAAATCAAATTTCTTCCACTCAAATTAATAAGTTGTTGGTTGGTGAACTCTTTTATTATTATTATAATTATATATATATGATCATCTATAAATTAAGTTGGTGAACTATTTGAACATTATATGTTATGCAAGAATCTAATATCAAATTAATTAAAGCCTCTCAGGTGGATAACATAGAACTAGGGACATTTTTTAGTGATTGTAGAGCATTGTTGTCTTAGTTTGAGCATGGTAGGTTGCAACATAATAAAAAAAGTGTGCATCATGCTGGAAGGGATGGGACACTCTAACAGGACAAAACTATAATGACAAACAGCTGAAAAGCAACCTTGTCCTATTGTACACACACAAAAAAACTTCTTAGCTAATTAAAATATGTCACATATTAATTCAATCACAAAATGACATGTGTTATAATCACAATTTAAGGTATCTAAAGAAATAATCTTGTTTTTCAAGAAAACATATATTAAAAAATATTCATTAAATAAAAATATTTATTGTTTCAACTAATACGACTAATGCATTTATATTACTTATCAAATAAGAATAAAATTTTTATCCTAAATTATTTGAAAAATAGTCAGTAGAGAAGTTTTAATCCTAAAGGACTCCTCAACCCATGCTTATAAAGAGGGTACCTTCTCAAGCCTTTTGACACACACTTTAGAAGCATAAAATCTTGAGAAAATTTTAAGGATTAAACTCTCTAAAAATTTCTCATTAATGAGAAACAAATTGAAGTCCCTGTTAAAAAAGAATAAATTGAAAACATTGTTAAGAGGGAATAAATTAAAGATCTTGTTAAAAGAGAATAAATTGAAGACTCTATCAAAAGGGATTTAAAGATCCTATTAAGAGACTTTTCGAAGAACCCTATTAAAAGATAACTTGAAAAATGAAAATCAAAGAAAGAAAAACAAAGAACAGGTGAAAAACACAATATAAAAAATATTGATTGCTTGTTTCCGTATTAAAAGGGATTCTGATCTTATATGATGAAAAAATATATTGAAACCTTTACTTGTTCATGAATAAGTTAATAAAGACTCTTATACAAAAAGTCAATATTGAAATATTCTATTCAAAGATAATAATCAAAGGATAAAATTTTCAAATATTGTAACTTACGAACTTTTATCAAATTTATAATTTGGCACATCCCTTTGGCATAATCTTGCGTTTAAGGCTTGTTTGGTGGAGTTTCTTGGAGTTTTACTTTTTTAGTATTGTTTATGAGTCATAAATTTAAATTTTTATTGGAGAAAAAATTTAAAAGTTACTTTTACAAAAAGTAAAAAATAAGTAAAAAAAAAATTTATAAAAAACAAAAACTTGAAATTTTTCAAAATTTGTTATTTAAAATCTTTTAAAGTTAAAAAAAAGTTAAAAAATATAAGTTTTTAAGAAAAAAATTTAAACTTATGAAACATGAGTAATGTCAAAAAACTAAAACATTTACAAATTTTACTAAATATGCTCTTAATATATTTACCGGAATAGTGATTTCTATCCCTCTTTTTTTTTTTCTTTTTAATTCTTGCAAATTAAATGAGTTATTGTGTAGATAAGATTGAGTGTAAAATCTATTTTTTTATCAATTTTTATTTGGATAAGTCTTACTCCTGTTGGCATATAAGTTTGATTATGGAACTTTATGTCTCGATCTATTGAATGCTAGGACAGACCATGATACCACTATCCTTAATTAATCAATACTCATATAAGGTTTTTGAGGCGAGGAACTCCTTAGAACAGATGTGTTTTTGAAGTGGTAGAGAAGAAACCTTAATACACCTATTAAGGTCAATGTTGCATTTTTCTTAGCAAGGACACTCATGCATGATGGGACACTTTAACAGTACAAAACAATAAAGACCGATAGCTGCATGTAAGAATGGTAACCTTATCATATTTATTATGAAATCCTTTTTGTAAAGTAAAGATGAAATAATGGACCTATAGTGGTGCTCACAGCACCAATTGCGTTGAATTTTTTTTTTTTAACATGATTATAATCGGGTGGAGGGGATAAAGGAGTAAGAAAAAGAGAATTTATGTGGTTTAAAATTGTAACTCACATAGATAATTTTATTAATTTAAACTAATGTTATTGAATCAAAATGTATAAATTACATCAATTACGTTGATTAAGATGTAATTTGATCAACATTAAAATTTTAAATTCAGTTTTTATAAAATCAGTCTCCCTTTTTCAAATTTTTTATGTTAACAATAATAATAATAATAATAACAATAATAATTTACTGCTCATAATCAAGAACTTGTCAAGTTGTCATATGTCTTAGGTCAATGTTGGAGTTTTTTTTGTTTTTCTTTTGAACAGGTTAGGTCAATGATGACTATGAAATTCAGAAAATACAGCTTACCATCTGATTGGCCACACAATTAAAGAACATACGTATAAGAGGACAGCAGTCCAGAAACACTAAGTACAAATGTAATTGTGCTTACGTCTAACTTTTTTGATTTGATAATTAACTCGATAATTATAAGTTATATTATAAGTATATCTCAATTTAAAAATCGATTTTGAATCCTCATATTCTCAAAGTTGTCATAAGTTTAAAAAAAAACTGTCATTGTGTTTTTGGCACAACCGACCTGGAAAAGAGGTGATAATTAATGAGGGCATGATGTGATTTTGTCATTGGTTATCTTAGATTTAAGAAATTACTATTAATGTCTTTTCTTTTCTTGCCCAAATTTTAGCAATCGGAGTGATCACTGCATGCTGAACGATCTGACTTTAAGATTGACAGCTTCTGACTTATTAAGGATTGCTGGTCGCCAGTCCACGTCGAGGAGTTTTTGGTTATTCATGGGATTAATTAAGAATAAATGAATTCTTGTTGGATTTTGGAATTTATTTATTATTATTATTATTAATGACAATAGACTAAGCGGTGAGAATCATTCTTATTTTTTTTTGCACGACAAAAGATGTTTTATTATATAAAGTACAAGAAGTACTTTGCTCAAAATACAAAAATAAATAAAGTATTGAGCATCTATTGAGAATCATTTAGTGGTGAGAATCATTCTTATGATAAAAATAATAGTTTATATAACTTGCATATTAAAGATATATTAAATATATTTTTTATCATAAATTTATATTAAAAAATAAAAATTAATTTTTAATTTATTAATTACTTAATTAAATTTACCTAATACTATAATTAATATTAACTTTTATGTTAATCTATATACATTTATAATAAAAAAAATTTAATACATTTTTAACTTATATTTTAAAAATACAAATTAAAAAAATCTTTAAAATAAAAGAATGTGGTTAAGGCTCTCGTTGTCAATATTTTAATGACCGAATCATTGCTTTTAGTCTCTAGTATAACATCGGAGCATGAGGGCAAGTTACATTATCAACTCTAAAGTTGCTCGACTCAGTGGGGTAGCGAAGATCTCAAATTATGAGGGTAGGAAGTATATATAAAAGGGTTTCTAGAAATAGAACATGATAAGAATCGCCTAAAGGAGAATTGAAATATATTCTCATGTGGTTATATAAACTAAATCAAGTTTGATAGCTGAATTTTAATGAGACAAACCCATTTTTCAATGGACAAATTTAGTTTGTTTTACATTTTTTTTTTTTTTAAAAAAAAAAAGGAGTTTGTTGTAGTCCATGGACGTCTTTACAGTCCCTTAATATGTGCTCTCTGTACTCATGCCTGAAACAAATATATGCAATTAGAATTGCGTAGTTATGCATTCTCATTTTTTATACAAAAATAAAAAAATAATATGAGTAAAAAAATCAGAGCTCATGTTTCATAGCAAGTCTGAAATCCTAAATTTAACTTGCCTCTTCTGTATTATCTAAAAGCTGAACCAATTTCTAAATTTCTACTGAAGCAAGAAAAAATGTAATCTTCTTTGCAAAAGCTAAACAAAAGAAGGAGACACAGGTCCAGCACTTGCCCAATGGCCACCCCTGCAAGAACATGCTTAAGACTAAAGAGGCTTGAGACCAAATCCCAAGCCCCCTTCCCCGAAAAAAAACAAAGAATTCTCCATTGTTAAAAAAAAAAAAAGAGAAGGAGACACAGAAAAGGAGAGACGTAGGTAACTAGGAGTAGGACAAAAACAAAAAATGGTTGGCCCACTTCACATTCAGAATGATTGGCGAAAGATACTGAAGATATTTATTACATGATAAAAATGGACGAAAAAGTCAGATCGAAGTTTGATTTTTGAACCATTAAATTATTAATTAGTACTGTTGATTAGTGGACTCTTGAAAGTCTTACTTTAGTCGTTGATTGGATGGTTTAATACAACTAATTAACACTAATTAATAATATCCAAACAGTAAACGGAGATAATATTAAAACACTTGATGAATGCATATGAAATTGTGCAACGTCGAATGAATACAATTCATGCAAGGAAAATATAGCCCTCTCCTCCCAATTTTGGAAAAGCGGCATTAATTTAATATTAGATTCTCCACATATTTGTTTAAATATATAGTTCACCTACTTAATTTATTCAAAAGATGTGTATTAAAAAATATAGAGAAAGAAAAGCGTTGCAGGTGTGCAGAAAAGGAGGAGACCATAGAGCACTTGCTGGTCGAGTGTGCGTATGTAGATGTTCTTGTGGAGAGTTTGGCAGGCTGCTATTCTTGGTGGGTTATCTATCTTCATTACTTTACAAAAAGGAGTTGCGTAAAAGATGGGTTATGGTGTCATAGTTTTATGCTCCAGTTTAACTTGTAGTCTATAGAAGGACAATGGGCTATCTTTGAAACAAAGATGGGTTATGTACAGGCCCAACTGAAGGAATGGGGCTTAATAGGCCTAACTCAGAGAGGTTAGGCCTCAAAACTTAAAAGTGTCCATATACACAAACGCTTCAAGTTGCGAGATGGTGTAAATAAGGAGGATATCGTTTTGCAATTTCACACCTCACTTTTTTTAATAAACGAACCCTTCTTTTGTTTCCTTTCTTTTTATGTACTAAGGTTTAAAGAAACTTAGGCACAATTTTTCTATGGGTATGGTACTCCTAACCTGCTTAAGTGAGAATGATTTTCCTTTTTCGAAATATGATAGTGTACTAAGCTAAGGGGATCTGAGGGGCTCAGGCTTCCCTAAGCTTTTGTAAAGTTAGAAAGTTGGTCTCTTAAATAATTTTATTATCATTTTATTTATTTTTTTTATAACTGAAGATTATTTTTCTGTGAACCCCTAAATTTTGCCGTTTCTTGGTTTCAGCCAATCCCTAAACTAAAGAGGATATTGTTTTGCGATTCACACTCTACTTTTTCTTGATAAATAAACTCTTTTTTCTTATGTACATCTTTATTTCAGAATAATTATTTTTTTTTAATTTGAGTTTCTCATTAATTGTTATTTTTTTTAAGTAGATATATTTTTAAAATTTTTTCATTATTTATTTACTTAAATTAATCATTCTATCACAAAAAATTATTTTTATTCTTTTAAAGTAATATAAATAAATATATAAATTATTCTTAAATCTTTAATTTGAAAGAAAAAATAATTATTATTTTAGAATAGGGAGAACACAGGTTTAAAGAGACTCAAGCACATTTTTTCTATTGGTATGGTACTCTTATTTTGCTCAAGTGGGGATGATTTCTTCTTTGAAACATGTTAGTGCGATAAGGGAGCTAAGAGGATCAGTCTCTCTAGGCTTTTGTAAAGTTAGAAGTTTGGTCAATTAAATTTTATTTTTAATAATTTTATTATAAATAATTTTATAAGAATAGTGTATATTACTGTATTTAAAAAAAAGTCTTCAAATTTAAATAAGGTTATTTTATTTAATTAAAATTTAATTTAAAATTTAAAATTTTATTTTATTAAATATTAATACTTTTATTTAGAAACTAAAATTTTAATTTAAAATTTAAAAATTTATCTTATTGAATATTGAAATCTATATTTATAAACCAATTTCATTCTAAATATAAAAAATAAGAAATCTACTTTATTAAAAAAAAAAAACTAATCCTTTATAATAAAAAAAAATGTTGCGAAACACTCATAAAAAAAAAACATAAAACAAAAAAGGTTGGAGTGAAGTTGCAAAAAAAATGTCAACTTTACAATTTTTTCTACTTAAAAATGTTAACTTTGTCAATTTCTAAATAAAGATATTAACTTTCAACATTTTCTATTTAAAAATGTTAACTTTCAACATTTTTTATTTAAAGATATTAACTTTTAATTTTTTCTATTTAAGAATGCTAACTTTTAACATTTCAGTTAAATAATTCATTTGTCACATTAACATCATTATCCAATTAATTCTTAAATAAAAAAAATTTAAAGTTGGTGTCCTCAAATAAAAAAAGTTTAAAATTAATATTTTTAAATAAAAAAATTAAAAATTAATATTTTTATTTAAAAATTAATAAAATTAATATTCTTAAATAAAAAAAATTATAAAGTTCACTTACTTTTTTACACCTTTACTCAAAAAAGTTGCGAAACAAATAAAAAAACGGGGATTTTGGTTTGGTGCTGGGCCATTTAACCTTGTTAGGCTAATCCCCCACTTTCTCTAAGCCAAAGCCCAAATCCATCATGGCCCGTATCAATGTTTAGTTGACTTTCTGCTTTAGGAAAACGCCCCTCATGCCAAACCCAACAATCGGAGAAGAAACACTTCTGACCCCTGCCCCTTTTCTCCCTCTGCGCAAAACCCTAAAGACAACCGCCCTGTTAGATCCAGAAATTAGAAGGAAGATCAGAAGAAGAATTAAGTAAGAGCAGATCCAAGAAGAAGAAGAAGAAGAAGGAGAATCAAGTAGGAAAACAGATCCAAGAAGAAGAAGAAGAGATCTGCTTGTATTCATCAATCAAACTACTCTGTCAATTACAGAGCGGTCCCTTATATATGGGCAATTACAGACTACACTAAGCCTCATTCTTAGCTAACTAACAATTAACAAACTCAACAGACTCCTTAACAAACGGAGCAGCATTCTTCCAACTCAGCATATACAATTGGCCTGTAACACCACCCCGATCTAACAATGTCTCAGTTATCTTTCGAAGAACAGCAATTGCAATATGCTTTGGCTTGTTTTAAGCACCTCTCTCTTCCATTAGAGAAGTTGACAAGAGTTGAACAGATTTTAGTGAAATCATGAACTTAAAAGAGGAACCAAAGAGAATAAGCCATCAATTACCATATATTCATACAGTAGATTACGGCAACTGAAAAGGAAAAATAAGAAAGAGTTATGTCAAATGTGCTCAAGGAAAAGAAAGCACTTGAACGAACCTTAGACTGGAAAGAATTTAATTTTTTTAAAATAAATATTTAAGTTCGAGTATGGAGAAATAGGCAATGGAACAACTTTTTCTTACAAGATTCGATGTAGTAAATTACAAATTAATTGGAACTGAATATGATTTTCACATATAAAGAAATTTAGTAGTTAAAAAAAGGAAACACCTACCCAAGAGAAAACAGTGTAACCGAACTAAACCCAATCTAATGAACTCGTCTCCTCACCTCGCTGGCTTCAGGCATTTCATTTCACCAACAGCACTCCTCCCACTCGCGGTCCGACCACAGGTCAGGACACCGCTCCCGACCATGTCCAATGCTAAAACTGGGAGCGAGTCGCAGAACTCGAAACAGAGACCAGAGAGAGAAGATTGAGAGAGTTCTACGAATGGGAACTCTGACAGCTTAATTAATGAGAGACAGCGTATTTCGGGCCGTAACCATAATAAACAAATGGTTTTTTTAGTTTTTTTTTTTTTTAACAAATTTGTAAGGGGTGAATACAAACAGCTATTTTAAAGGAAGAAAAAACATTTATATGAGATCTGAAATCACTGAATAAAAGGTTAAAATGCTTTTAGTTATTTGTTAGAAGCGCACGTCAATAAAATAATAAATATATTATTTTATAATTAATTTATTAAAATATAAATAATATCAAAAAATTAAAATAGTTACAAGTTTCACTAAACATACTCTTAATTTTATAGCACCACCCTCGATGTCATTAGCACCAAATATATGTTCCAATAGGAGTTTCTGCCCATTTCATTCGCCAAATTAGAGCATGTTTGGAGTAGCTTGTAAAATTTTTTTTATACTGTTTATAAGTGATAAGTTTAAATTTTTATTGGAGAAAAAATTTAAAAATTAATTTTAGAAATAGAAAAAAATAAGTAAAAAGTGAGTAAAAAAGAAATTTATAAAAAGTACAAATTTAAAACTTTTCAAAATTTACTATTTATATTCTTTTTAATATTAAAAAGAAGTTAAAAAATATAAGTTTTTTTTTAAAAAATTTAAACTTATGAAACATAAATAGTATTAAAAAATTGAAGCTCTTAGAAGCTAACACAAACATGCTCTTAGTTTACATTTATACTTCATTTAGCGTAGTTGTAATTTTTTATTTATAATTTTAATTCATATA